TATTATAGCCGTATACATTTGTAAGAATAACAATGTTTTCTTTAAACTGAGTTACAGTGATTAACCACCTGCCTACATTTGAGCAATGCGATTCAAGTAAGGTGTTATTAAACTGTGGATTAAATAAAGTCATAACCCCGGCTGAGTTATTAGAACCATGACAAAACATAATTTTTCTCCCCCACTGGTTCGACCAAAAAGATTCATCTTTCACGTTTGAATGTGATTCCTGCAAAAAATAGACATCTCTGTTTTTTGATTTACAAAAAAGAAATAAAGCTTTACGTTTAGTTAAGTCCCTAATTCCCCTAACATTAAGTGAAAAACAAGACAAACTAAATGACATGAAATAACAATTTGAACGAGTTCTGAAACTATTCAAGTAGTAAAACTACTGTAGAAGAGCGTTTTTTTACAATTTAGAGTAAAGAAAAAAGATGAGTGCAACACTTGTCCAGACCTCCTCATCATAAACATATTTTCGATTTTCTAGTTTGAAAAAAGAACCCAACATTTAGCAAAATCAAAGAGAGTGTAAGTTTTTAACATTAGAAAGTGTAAGTGTGTCAGTTAAATATCGTCCACAGTGACTTTTTTCCCGTCAATGACAGCCGTGGAGCCCTGAAACCCTGCACGTTTACCTTCCAGTCTAGCTTGATTAACAAGCGGCCACAGTTTGTTCCGAGCATCTCTTGCACGTTGTGTCAAGTCCTCCGTTATTCTGATATTTTTTTGTTTGAGGATTTCGGAGCGCTTCGCGTCGGTCCAGATGAGGTCACGGTGCGTACGAGACATGAACTGCACAATGATGCGACGAGGATGTGTCAGATTTTTCTTACCGAGTCTGTGAGCAACGTCAATTGAGGATTGCAGAACATCAGTCAAACACGGTGAAACAAGCCGCAGTATTTCCATTACCTCCATTTTCACGTTTTCTCCTTCTACTTCAGGGATACCAGCAATCCGAAGATTCCACCGCCTTTTGTAGGTCTCAAGCTCGTCCAACTTTTGCCAGAGTTGTTTATTTTCTGTTTTTAAGGATGTAACTTGATCCTTTATCTCACTTGATTTGGCAACGGCTAAGTCAGCTTTGTTAGCAATCGTGTCTATTTCAGACACGAGTTCGGTGATGCGGCTCGAGTTGTTTGAAACAGATTGTTCAATTGCCACCAATTTCTCCAAAAAATCATCTTGTTTTTTGGCCAATTTTTCAATTGCTTCCAAGATAACTGCATTAGATGGATCGTCTGTGTGGCGTCGCATCTTTGCGTTTGGACTCTTCGTCGGAGTTTCAGGTAGCGTTGATGAATCAAAATCTTCCTCTGTTGTTTTGGTATAGCTATGTTGTCTCTTTACTGCCAAAGCGTCTTCCATAGCAAGCTGAAATAACTTTTCCTTGTTTCTAGGCCTACGTTATATCAGATGGGTAACAAGCGAGCTACGTCAATGTTCATAAAGCCACTTGTTGCACACACAAAAAAAACACTCTTACAAAGTAGGGTTCATAAGTATCAAATTCGTTACGCTATATTATTATTATTTTACAGTCATGAGAGCAAGTTAGGTCAAGAACTGCAGATAAGGTTTAAGAGCTACTAAAACCACGTCTTACATAGGCGCCATCTTGCCGCCTCCCTGGATCAAGGCTTACTGACTCACTCTCCAACTTAATGGGTTGTCACATCCCACTGTGTCCCTCCCTCTGCATATTAGGTGAGATCCACAATCAATATAAATAATACAAATGGTCAGTTACTGCTGGTGGCTCTAACTATCGCCAAGAAAACTATCCTAATGAACTGGAAATCAAGAAATAACATTCACATCTTACACTGGAAAAACTTATTAACAGAATACATCTCCATTGAAGATCCTCTTTGCCTGAAGCCATTCCCTAACAACACCTTCATCAGTATATAAACAAGAGGGGAGGGGGGAGAGGGGGTCAAGTAGAGGTATTAGAGAAAAAATATATATATTAAATCAAATTTAAAATAAATAAATCAATTGGAGAAAAAAAAAAAAAAAAAAAACTAGTGTAAATTTTATTAATACCTTTCCACAATATAATTCGGTCTTTATATACTTCTTTGCTTTCCCTTTCATTCTACTCGATCTCCTTTTCTGTCTCTCTCAATGTTATATATTCAATTTATTATTATTATTTATCATATTTTTTTCTTTTTATTATTATTATTTATTATTATGCATATTATTATTATTATTATTATCATTACATATTTTTTATACCAGTTCTTCCCCTGACCAGTCCAACAACAGATAAAAAAATTAAATAAAAAAATAAAAAAATAAAAAAAGGGAGAGGAGGAAGAAGAAAAAATGGGAAGAAAAAAAAGAAGAAAAAAAAACATTCAGACTACATTCAGAGGGAGAAGTGTGACGTGGGCATGGCGGCCTGGGCATTAAACTGGACTGGTCCATGCTACACGTCACATTTTTTTTTAATGCATCACAAAGCAACTGACAAACACTTTATACCACAATGCTCACCATACAACTTCCACCTTCTCAAGTTATTGTTAAAATTGCTGTTGTTTTTATTATTATTATTATTATTATTATTATTATTGTTATTATTATTACCAGCATGAGTATATTATAGTTACAGTGTTAATAATCCATCATACATCTTATTAATATTACTATTTCCTGTGGGTTTGTATAATTCGTTCATTTAATAGTAATGTTATTTTTATTTTTATTATTATTTGTTATTTTTTATCATTATTATTCTCATTGTTTTATTTGCTGAACTTTATTTTTCGACTCTTTTTGTTTCTTTCCTTTTCTTCTATTCCTCGCGTTCTTTTTCTGTTTTTTTATTTTTATTTTTTCCTTTCCCTCTCTTTCCTCTTCTACTTACTATTATTATTATTATTATTATTATTATTATTATCATTACTTGTCCTCTCCCTGATTTCCCAACCTCCCCTCCCCTCCCCCCCGCCACTTTTATCATTAATGGTATTACTTTTACTTTTGTTATCATTATTATTATCACTGTTCTGACCTGTCCTCCTGTTATCTTTTCATTATCATTAATATAAGTATTAATCGATTATCATTATTAAGGTTGCAGTAGTTGTTGTTGTTGTTGTTGTAGTAGTAGTAGTTGTAGCAGTAGTCATTGTAGTAGTATCGATTGTAATTGTATTTTGAAGTAGTAGTTCCTGTAGTAGTTGATGTCGTTGGTATAGTGGTAGCAGAAGTAGTAAAGGTGTCGTTGTAGCAGTAGTAGTAGAAGTCGATGTTGGTGTAGTAGTAATAGTCATTTTAGTAGTATCGATCGTAATTGTGATTATTGAAGTATTAGTTCCTGTAGTAGTTGATGAAGTTGGTATAGTGGTAGCAGAAGTAGTAAAAGTGTCACTGTAGCAGTAGTAATCGTTTTTGGTGTAGTAGTACCAGTAGTAGATGTCGTTGATGTAGATGTTGTAGTAGCAGTGATTGCGGTAGTAGTAGTAGTAGTAGTAGTAGACATTGTATTAGTTGTAGCAGACGCTGTAGTATCAGTAGTGGTAGTCATTGTTGTGTTAGTATCAGCAGTAGTAGACATTATAGTAGTAATAGTTGTGGTTGTGACTGTAGTAGCAGCAATAGTAGTTAATAATTATATAGTAATATAAGTAACTTTCTGTAGTAGTAGTAGTTAGGGTAGTACTTGTGATTTATTATCATTGTCATTTATTATTACTGTTGTCCTTTCTTTCTTTTTACTGTCATTATTACTATCATACATTACTAAGCATAGTTGTTGCTCCCTAACTCTGGTTTCTTTTTTATCTGTTTTACTTATATCTGCGATACTTGATTCATTTATTGGCTAATGTTGTTCCTAATGTATGTAATCTGACCTTTCCACCAAGTTACCTTTACATGGACACACACACACACACAGGAATAAGGAATAAAAGAAACTTGCAAAATGGTGAAGTGCAAGGTATAGCATTTAAAAATACTGTGATTCTTCATACTCAAAGTACTTTGGTGATAAGAAATTTAGCCTTGCAGCGTTTCCCAATACATTTGGTTCTATCAACAGAAAATGACCAGTGTTGAGGGTAACGCATTTCAAGTAACCTAAGTTACGTAATATTATTACTTTTCTTAAGTAAAGTATTGCATTACCTTTAACACTTAAGTAATAAAATTTAAGTTACATTTTTGAAAATGTTAAAAAATGTAAACATTTTACATTTAAAAAATGTAACTCGACTATTTTGATAATTTAATTAGGATGCTTTTAAAAATAGTTTGCTAAAATTAAATTAATGTAATCATGTTGAATCACATTTAGTAAGAGAATGAGTTCCTCGCGTTTTCAGAAGGTAGCATTATTCACTGTAAGAAATACATGGCTCTACACAATTTATTCATGTTGTCCCATGTTTTGCTGTTTTGGTTCATATGAGCGCTGCAAATTCCAGTCCACTGCAAATTCTCTTGTTGTTTGAGACACATGATGACACCCATCCCAAGCCAATGCTGATCAACATCCCACCCATTCTGTGACCCGATTGTCTGTATGTGTATTCGGAGCAATGAGCAACAGACTTTCAAAAAATAACAAATAAATAAATAAATAAAAAACTTTAGAAATAAAACCAAACAATTGTCTGAGTTAGTTAATTAACGCTTTAATGCTAGAATAACATGTTAGCTTGCCCAGACCTAGCATAAATACGTCATACAATTATGTGTGTCTGATTTCAGTTTAGTATTTAACTGTGCTTCCCCATTTGAATTCTCAAGATTTTGTGAAGAAAATTTCAGGTAATGATAAAGTTTGGATTGGTCTGACAGACAGTGAAGTAAAAGAGTGCTGGAAAGGCTGATGGCAGCAAAGTGACTTTAATTTCTAAGTATTTACTTTACAAAAAAGAACACATTTTTACAGTGATGACAATAATAATAATAATAATAATAATAATAATAATAATAATAATAATAATAATAATAATATTACATTTATTGAGCTGCAAATATTTATCAAGCTTGCTATGAATGCTGCTTTTATTTTAAGTTCAACATTCTGTATTGTAAGAGGATATAGTGACATTCTTGTTAACTTCCTATTAGATGCAAGTTCCTTCTTTACATACAGTAAATGCAAGGACTATTACTACAGACACAAAGTGACATCGGGAGAACAAAATGTCCACCTCAGAAGAGACCGCAGTTTACTTATAAGCTTTTACAAATACTTCAGATTTTGGATTCATAGTTAAAATGTGGTAGCCATTTAAACTGAACTGGAAATGTCTGGGTTTGTGAATGCTAGTATGGACAAAAGTTCATCGATGGAATCAGATGACAGAATAGAGAAGACAGTAGATATCTACATCACTGCAGAGGCTGTAAGAAACATGAAGCATGGCAATAATACAAAGGACTTTAACACTCAAATATCAGAATTTCAAACACCTCAACACACAGGTAACTCAGATAAATTTACTTTACACAGTTAAATAAAACTTTGAAAAAAAATTTATAAAAAAAAAACGTTCTTGTATTGTTTGCTATCTTTAGGAAGCAATTCTGTCAAAAACAGAAACTCCAGAGCAGCTCTAGTGTGTTTGGTGCTGCTGTGTTTTCTTCTGCTGACTGCAGTCATAGTGCTGAGTGTCTTCATCTATACAAACAACACAAACTACACTGAAGAGAGACGCCAGCTAATAACCAACATCTCCAACATTACAGAAAAGAGTAATCAGCTAATACATAAAAACACAAATCTCTTGAATGAGACAGACCAGCTAAAATGGAAGAAGGACAATCTTCTGAATCAGCTGAAAATAATTCTGACTGCTGGTAAATTGTTTATTTTTAGTCTATGTCCTAATTCTCTATACAGAAGACATTGTCAAAAACATGCTGGAGAATGTTGTGGTGTATTTTAGCATGCACTTAAATATATCATGACTATAGTGGCTGAGTGTAAATGGGAATAACAAGTATACTTGTTCTGTTAACAGGTGGATGGACTTACAATCAGTCCAGTTTTTACTACAAGTCCAATGCATTAAAAAGCTTGGATGAGAGCAGAAGTGACTGTATAGCGAGAGGAGCAGATCTGATCATCATAAACAACTCAGAGGAACAAGTGAGTTAGAGACTGTGTGTGTGTGTGTGTGTGTGTGTGTGTGTGTGTGTGTGTGTGTGTGTGTGTGTGTGTGTGTGTGTGTGTGTGTGTGTGTGTGTCTGTGTGTGTGTTTGTTTTATGTTTAGCAGCTGAGTGAGAGATGGTCAATTATCAGTTTCTGATATTAATCTGCAATTGTCTTGTGTGCTCAGGATTTTGTTAAGAGAATGGCTGGTAGCGCAGTCTGGATTGGTCTGAATGACACTGTTGCTGAGGGCATATGGACATGGGTTGATGGCAGTGCACTGAATAATAAGTGAGAAATCAGAAAACTAAACTAATTGTTATTTAATAAATGATTCTCACAGTCATTATCATAACATACTGAACGCAGCCCTATACTTCTGATTTTGATTTGTAGTTTGAGCTTCTGGGCATCTAAAGAACCAAATGGAGGCAGAGGAGAGAACTGTGCTGTGTCTGCTGAAAAAGTGACAGCCTGGCCTTCTTTGTCAGGGTGGGTTGATGTCTCATGTGACAGAAGATTTCAGTGGATCTGTGAGATTAATATTTCACAACTCATATAAAACTTTAGTGTCAACTGACTTACATGTAAAATAGTGTTTTTCATCCTTGATCCTCATGGATCTTCAACTGCTGCACATTTTAATAATTTTTAATAATAATGTTTAGTGCATTGACTGCTTCTTCTCTTTATTTTGTTGTTTCACATGTTTGCTGTTGAAAAAAAATATATATAAACAAATAAGCCTATGTTTTTTCTCATTTGTGTTTAATTGATGAACATGGACAGAATATATTCAGAACATAATTTCAGACAGAAATAGGCTAATATGAATTAAGCATATAATAATAATAATAATAATAATAATAATAATAATAATAATAATAATCATAATAATAATAGTAATCTGTATTTCTTCACAAGGTCAAACAGAAATGTATTTATTAAATTAAAAGCATTTAACTCAGCAGCTGCGTTGGCTTTAATAAATTATTTAAAATTAAACCTAAACTAGTTGTGGTCTTATGAGAGAACAAACAACACAATTAACACAAGCGAGTCCTTTTTGTTGGATTTTAGCAATGAAAAAGTATCCTTGTTGACTTTCTATGGTGATATGTGTGCTGCATTTAAGTGGATAAAATATCTCAATTATAGACATAAATGGTTGCAAATCCACCACTAGCCACTTCCAGTGTGAAAACATTACAGATGCTTAGGGGATTTTGATAAATATACATTTATTTGCTTTTTAAACTTATTTTATCTATATATCTTATGAGAGAGATGCTCTGGCATGTGGAGAGGTAAATAAACCTCAATAATAAATACAATGTAGTGTAAATATCATACTCTTAATGGCATTTGAATGAAACACATCTTTCCAACTAAAATCATGGCAGAATACCCTGTTTATCCTGAGTCGAATTTGAACATACATCTAAAGGGATAAGAGAAACTTGCGAGTGGTTATGTCACGTATAAAAGAATGTTCAGGGGGATCCAAGTGCAAGAAACAAAAATAATATTTATTGACACAGTCAAACAAAAAGCAAATAATGAATGTGGTGCTAGTGCTAGGAGAGATCAGGCAGGAATCAGGCAGGAAACAGGGTCCAGAAATTAGTCCTTAGATCCTAAGCACACAGACAGAATAGCACATCATAAGCACACATAACGAACTGACAAAGACACACAGAAAACGTGGCCCATATATAGGCCCGAATATGAGCCTCAGCTGGCGGGCTCATCAAGCCAGCTGAGTGCCGTCATCACACGTGATCAAAACAGATACACGTGGAGAACAAAAACAAACCAACATGATCAAACAGACACTCCGGAAGAGCGCACAAACCTGCAACCGTGACAGGTTAAGTGAGAGGACTAGCAATAAGAAACACTTCATACTCAAAGTACTGCACTAATAAGAAATTCAGCTTTACTGTGTTTACAAATACCTTTGGTTCTATCAGCTCTGCCGTGTGGAGGACATTTAAACAGAAAATGACCATATAAGTTCAGTATACCTTTTATTTTTCTGTTTTGGTTCAATATGAGCGCTGCAGCATGTCTTAGGTCCACTGCAAATTCTCTTGTTGGTTGAAACTCATGATGACACCCAACTCATTGATAATAATCAACATCCCACCCATCCTGTGACCCATGAATTGTCTGTATGCGTATTCAAAGCCAATAAGCAAAAGATAAAAAAAAATAAAAAATAAAACTAAATAAATAAAAACAAACAATTGTCTGAGTTAATTAACTAATGCATTAAAGCTAATACCATGTTAGTCTGTCCAGGTCTAGCCTAAACACTTCAAACATACTCTGGTCAACTCTGATGTATTTTTTCTTTTTTTTTATTACTACTTAAATGTTTAGTTTTCATCTTTTAGTTAATTTAAAACTGTTTATTTTAGAAAGAATGGACTATATTACATTGATGTTTTCTACACTTTGAAAGAAACTAAAAATCTACATATTGCATAATAATAATAATAATAATAATAATAATAATAATAATTCGGCTTAGTCCCTTTATTAATTTGGGGTTGCCACAGTGGAATTAACCACCAACTGACCCAGCCGAGGCTCGAACCAGCGACCTTCTTGCTGTGAGGCGACAGCACTACCTACTGCGCCACTGCGTCATAATAATAATAATAATAATAATAATAAGCCAGATGTCTTTTTGCAATGAGTTTTAATTCATTTAAATACAAAGCTAAAAACACTTCCACAAAAAAGCTCCTACATGCCTAAATACTTGAATCATTTCCTCAAAATGTATTTATTGCATAAGTACTTTCCACACACAAACACACACACGGTTGAAGAACACAACCAAGTCTGCTTCAGAAGAGAGAATATAATATTAGTGTATCATCAACAGCACTGCGACGGTCTGAAAGTGTAACTGAAACAGAAAGGATATAACCTGCAAAATGCACAGAAAGGGCAGAGAAAACACTGGCAATATCTATGAAAATCAAGGTATAAAAATGCAATCTGGACAAGGGATCACGGACCGCAACGCGATGAGGATCCAGTCATTTGAACTCACAGGTACTGCACATAAATGTGAATATGAAAATATAAAAGAAGAAACAATTTGGAGAATCCAAAAAGGTGAACGACAAACCCCTGATGATATCTATGAGAATGATGTTATAAGAGGTTTTTCTGGAAAAGAAATCACAGTTTGCAGCACAACGGGAATCCAGTCATCTAAAGTCACAGGTATTGAGATTAATCTTAAATTCATTTTATCACTCAACATTATCAATAATGACTCTGTTTTCATGTTATGTTTATGCATATTATGTAAATGTTTGTTCATCTCCAGGAAGTGATTTAGGAAGAATGAGAAGCTTCAGATCAGCTACAGTGTGTTTGGTGCTGTTGTGTTTTCTTCTGCTGACTGCAGTCATAGTGCTGAGTGTATTCATCTATAACACAACACAAACTACACTGAAGAGAGACGCCAGCTAATAACAAACATAACCAACCTCACAGAAGACAGAAACAAGCTACTAACCAACAATACTGACCTCACAGAAAAGAATAATCAGTTATTGCAAAACAACACAAATTTGTTGAATAAGACAGCTCAGCTTAGATGGAAGAAGGAAAACCTTCTGAATCACCTTAAAGAAATTCAGACTGCTGGAAAAGTGTTTATTTGTCTATGTAATCATTTTCCGTACTGAAGACATTGTCAAAAATATGCTGGAGAAGGTTTAGCATACACTTACATATCATGTCTTAATACTATCTACTTAGTTTTGGTGGAGTGTAAATAAGAATAAAAAGCTCCACTTGTTCCATTAACAGATGTATGGACTCACAATCAGTCCAGTTTTGCTACAAGTCCAATGCATTAAAAAGCTTGGATGAGAGCAGAAGTGACTGTATAGCGAGAGGAGCAGATCTGATCATCATAAACAACTCAGAGGAACAAGTGAGTTAGAGACTGTGATTCTGTGTGTGTGTGTGTGTGTGTGTGTGTGTGTGTGTGTGTGTGTGTGTGTGTGTGTGTGTGTGTGTGTGTGTGTGTGTGTGTGTGTGTGTGTGTGTGTGTGTATTGTCTAATGATTCTCATAGTCGTTATCACAACATGAGAAAGCAGCAGTGAACATCTGATTCTTATTTGTAGTTTGATCTTCTGGGCACCTGAAACTGGAGATCCAAATGGAGGCAGAGCAGAAAACTGTGCAGTGTGTGCTGATAGAGTGACACAATGGCCTACTTTATCAGGGTGGCTTGATATCTCGTGTGACAGAAGATTTCAGTGGATTTGTGAGATGAATATTTCACAACTCATAAAAAACTTTAGTGATAATTGATTAACATGTAAAGCAGTGTTTCTCATTTCTGATCCTTGTGGATCGCCAACCGCTGCACATTTTCTTTTCTTTTCTTCATGCTGGTATGATTAATCCTCTGATATGCAATACTCAACTAATGTACAGTTTGAGGATGTACTGTATACTGTTGAGATTGAAACATAATTCATAATCAAACGCAATATCCATGAATGTACTACATTCAGAGTTTATCACAAGATCATTGACAGTTGTGCATAGTTTTGGCTAAGTCAACCAATATGGCATCATACAATATCTAATATGAAACATTGTGATGGTCATTGTAAATACAGATGATACGTTCTAGCATGTTTTACCATGTAGATATATTTGTGTTATCAAATTTTTTACATGTAAAAAAAAAACAAAACAACATTAAAATTACTATAAATGATTTACCTTGATACTGAATGCAGTATTTTTAGGGTAAACACACCATAATGTTTTTTGTGCATTGACTGCTTCTTCTCTTCATTTTGTTGTTTCACATGTTCAATGTTGAAAATAAATAATGAAAAAAATACACAGAATATAAGAAAATAAGTCTACCTTATTACTTATTTGTGTTTAATTGATGAACATGGGCAGGCCATATTCAAAACATATTTACAGAGAGAAATAGGCTAATCCAAATTTAGCATCAACCAAATAAATAAATAAATAAATAAAATAAATTCATTTGACTTCTTAGGATTTTGTGAAGAATATTTATTTTAATGATATTTCAGTTTCATAAGATGCAAGAAGCAGCGCTGATCATCTAACACTAATCTTTTGATGCAGGTTCTGGGATTCTGTAGGATACAATAGAGATAATTGTAATTTATTTATTCACTACATGTCAAAAAAAGAAAAACAACAACAATATTTTAAAAATAAAAATGCTTACTGTTATATTAAAACTTTCATGTTAAACAATTTCAACATCTGTCAAGCTTAGTCACATCAGAATATCTAAAAATAAGCAGGTTAAATTAACTGTGATGTTTCTATAGACCTGAATAATTTTACTTTTATACCAATATAATTTAAACTGCATTTTCAACTAACACAAATAATCAAGGTTTTAGTTTTATTCAGAACATCAATAAAATATATGTTTAATTTATATGTGTAGAATATATCACAAAGGGTTAAGATGCTCAATATTACAATCTTTTAGTTTGAGGAACCACAATAAATGACAAATGTCCTTTAAAAAGTCATTCTTCTTGAACAAATTATTGAATAAATAACAAAGATAAAAGAGCATGTAAATATGGCTGATGATAAAACTATTAACCATAAACTAATCAACTGTCTGAACATTTGATCTATCAGCAACCACCAACAAAAACATGCAAACAAAAGCTTTTCAATAGCATCTACCAATACAATGATCAAGCCAAAGAACTTAAACATATAGGATATAAATGATATG